GGCCTCGCGAGAGTGCGATCAGGATCGGCAGGAGGAGACGGCGGCGCAAACTCCTGGCCCACCCACTCCGCATGTCTGCTGGCGCTCAGGTGCTCTTCCGCGTCGCGTCTGATCATGAAGAAGATCGAGCCACTGCCGCGCTGGCTTCCGCAAGGTCCCGACAAAAAGCACCGCCGCAGGCGCGTCGCCATTGAACGCCCCGCACAAAGTACGCATCGTCTGCTCACCGCCCGCGCCGCGAGCGCAGGGCAGGGGGCGCCGAGCAGCCGAAGGCGCCCATGTCTTCCTTGGAAGCGGCCGTCGGCGCCCCAAGAGATCGCAAGCTCGAGAACGACGCTTCCTGACAGGCGAGTGCTCCGCCCCGACTCCGTCCGGCATGATACCCACGCTCTCGATCGGGCACGTCTTGTGGGAAATCCACGCGCCAGCTGCGCCATGCGCCGTGGCGCGCCCATGCGACGTGGACCACGAATATAGCGTCGCTCAGCGAAACCGCCCTTGTCGCCGCGCCTGTCCGAACCTGTCGCCCGTGAGCGGCGCCGCAGAACGGGCGCCCGCTGCGCGCGCCGAATGCGATGCCTTCAGACTCGCTTCGTTCGATATCGCACCAGCCCCAGCGCCCGGCCCTCGCCTGTCCCCCGCAAGCCGACGCCGAATAAGAAACTCCGCGCGCCCTCGGGTTTCAAGATCCCCTGCCTCTTCGCCCTCATCGATTCGGCGCCGGCGTAGCTTTCAGTGAGCGCCATCGAACCTCCTCGGGGGACCCAGCACCAGCATGATGACCACCGATGGGGCAGAGCGCAGAGGGCCCGCCTTGCGACGAGGAGCCCGAGCGGCAAGATCGGCAACAGCAGCCGCCCACGCACCACACGCCGACCGTTGCGACTGCCGAGCGACGGGGGCCGAGGTGGGCCCTGAAGGAGACGCGCTTGAGATTCATCGAAGGACACAGGCACCGCCACGAGGCCCCGCGCATGCCCTGGACTCCCAGGTCCTGGACCGCCGAAATGCCCACGAAGCTCCTCCATCCTAGGCGCGTAGGTCTCGCCAACATGGAAACGTCGTCGTCGCGGCCCCGAGCACCGCCCAGCAAGTTCGCGGGCCAGCCGCCACGCCTCAGCACGCTGCCTTGCCCCCCACGCAGAGCTCAGCTCCTCGACCAGCTGTTCCGGTACAGATTCCCGATGGGCGCGACGAAGATGGCAGAGCTTGCGACTGCGCCGCGCAAGCAGCAAGACCGCTCGAGATCTCCCGCGCCTTGCTCTCGCGCCCGTCGCCGCCCATGGAGCAGCTGACTGCGAGTTCGCCCTGGGCCCTGCGAAAACTTCATCGAAAAAAGTGCCGCTCCGACGCAACGTGGACAGCGGCCACCCACCGTGACCATCCAGCATCGGGAGAGATCTCACACAGCATGAGAGCACGTAAATCAGGGGCCGCGCCGGACGCAGCCCCCAAGTCAGCAATGACTCAAAGTCCCCAACTCCTGTCCTCAGCGCGCTCGCAAATCTGTCGAAGTCCCATCGCGTGGAGGCAATCTTCGACAAACTGAGGTCGCACCCGCATGCGAACATGACCAGGATCGGCACACGCTCAGACGGCCCTCGTCGACAGCCATCCCTGTGTCTGACACTGGTACGTCCCATCGCCCTACACAACGTGATCGTCGGCATTTGCCATCTGAAGACTGCGACACAGTCAATGCACCTCGATGAGCGGTTCCGAAGAAGGCGTCGCCTATGTTGTAGCACGTCGACGCGATGGCCGCCGACTGTTTCTCGCGCAGCTCTAGCATCTGGTCGGCCGCATAACGTTGCCCCCCATCGAGCAAACGGCCGCCGGAAGCAGAGGCGAGCCCAGTTCATGATGCCACCCTGTCTTCGGCTCCACCCGAATGACATATTCAGATCGAACCCCATCATCAGGGCGGACCTCTTCTTGGACGGCGCGAGCGCTTTCTCCAGCCAGTGGATTAGATCAACCGTCGCCCGATGTTGAAAATGCGGCGTTGCTGCCGTTGTCGCCTGCGCGCGAGATTCTCGACCCTTCCACCTTGAGCATGGACGAAAACATGCAGCACAGGGATGAGCACATCGAACCGACCGGCCCGCAAACGAAACACTTCTGCACACCCCTATAGAGAGGCAGGGACGCTAGGTACATCATACACATCACGCTGCTTGAACACCCTCTTCCACAGCAGCAAGGTCCCCCAGGACTTGATGTGTCTGCCCGCACCGTAGCCGCATCTGACCACGAACTAATGTCCCTCTGCCACCAGTACTTGCGACTGCCACCGCAACTTTTAATTGAAACTCCTCTGATAAGTCATGCAACCGCTCGATGTCTGCATACTGCGAGCTCCCATGTACGAACGTGAACATACAGATGAGGATACCGACTGCCACACTCGGCCGCACGAGAGGCGCGAGACAACCCATTATGCAAGCATGTGTTGATGAGTGGGCAGCGGCGGCCTGAAGGGGGGGCTTGCCGTAGCGAATGGTGTCTACGGCGAGCGCGGCGCCCTCTAACCCCTGGAGAGGCAACTCCTGAGCAGAGGGGATGGAGGAGGAGGAGGAGGAGGAGGAGCAGCAGCAAAACGGACGAGTGGGGCAGCGTGGTGGCCAAAAGGGTGCCCACTGGGATGCCCGGGCATCTTAGCGGCCTGCGCGGGAGCGACCATGGACACTCATCTGATCAGCTGAAAGCTGTTCGGTGGAATCAATTCGAAGTTCGGAAGCAAGCCGTGGGAGGACGTCGAACAAATGATGCCTATACGACCACCCTTCGGATGACAACTAGGTTCCGGGGGGAACAACCAACGTCTCACTCAATCGATCGAACGATCGATCTCACGATCGGTCTCACGATCGATCTCACGATCGATATCACTATCGATCTCATGATCGTTCTCACCATCGATATCCCTACGGAGCACTGACGGGATACAGACGGGACGCCGATGAACACCCACGGTACATGACTATCGATTTCACTCGATCGAATTCACTTGATCGATCTCACTATCGATCTCACAACCGACTCACTTTCCCTCTCACTATCGATCTCCCTATCGATCTCAAGATCTTTCTCACTATTGATCTCCTTATCGACCTCACTACCGATCTCCCTATCGCTCTCACTGCTGATCCCACTACCGACCTCATTATCGATCTCACTCTCGATATCACTGTCGGTCTCACTGTCAATCTCACCCTTGATCTCACCAGAAGAATGAAGGGAAACTGGGACACACAAATAAATACACACAAATAAAAAGATTCCTATATTTTCCAATATTTTCTGGGTTTTTGTCTTCCCCACCACTTCCCATATTTTCCCATATTTTCCGGGAAATCGACGATTAATTGTGTCTGTGTGTTTTTTCCCCTCCTGAAAGAAGCCGACGAGACACTGACGGGACACCCGCGGGACATCCCCGGCCACCGCCGGCCAACGGGGGGGGATGAGCAGACGCTGGGCTCGCCGGCGCCCTGGCCAGGGGAGGGTTCGCTCCCCTCGCCCGCCCGCGCTGCCCCGCCTCGCCCGCACGCGGGACACGAGCACGAAACCGATGTCCTAGTGGGGGGCTCTCCTTTTGCACCGCGATCTGGCCCCATCACCTCGAGCAGGCTACGGTGGGGGCATTTTTTTAACTCTTCGAGCACCCGCAAATAGGCGCGTGGTCATGCTAGAATTCAAGGAAGGAAGGAGGGCGGGAGGGCAAGGCACGTCTAGCGGCCGCACGATGCCCACGGCCTCCTTCACGAGTCGCTCGGGCGTGTAACTCCAATCGAGGCTGGGCCATGGAGGTCACCGCCGCCCTCATCAGATAAGGAATCCTCCAGGGTCTGCAGCCTCCTGGGCGCATTCCTTAACGAACGCTCCGTATTGAGCCCCATGAAGGGGCCATTGAGCCAAATCTGGTCGGAGTTTGTCGAGCACTCTGCCAGATTAGGCCAGGTACAGCAGCGGGATGACTCAAAGTTATGTCGGACCAGGCCATTGTCGACCACGGACATACCAGCGCCGATGCTGAACTTAACCTCCCAGGAGTTGCATCCATGCCCAATGCTGACGACGCCGACGGCGGAAAGAGGAGGCGTAGGAAGGGTGAATCCATATGTACGCGTGAGCGCGAACACATCTTTGCTGAATATCTCCTGGACGCATGGGATCAATCCGGATGATCACTGACGGGCAAGTGGGAATGATGTGCAAATGCATGTTGGAGACATGCCCCGTCCAAACATTGAGTTGCGCATCGCTAGTGTCCTGTAGGATCGGCTTGAATCCGTCGCTGGAAAATTGGACGGCAAAAGAAGCGAGTGAACCCCGCAGCTCACACAAACACATTCAACAAATCCAGAAGAGTGCAATGCGCGCTGTACAACGACAGCGGCAGGACTCCGTGGTTCAAATGGGAAAAGGAGACAGCTGAAAGGCAAGAGGAGGTGGAGTTCCGAAAAAAAATCCAGAGATTTCTGCACGCCAGAGATTTTCATGAGATCCGTCGGAGACTTTCCAGAGATGTTCTGGAGATTTGCTGGAAATTTCTGCGCCGCGCAGATTTCCCCGTAATCCCCTTCGAAGATTAGTCAGGCCCAAACATGTTCCAGAGATTCCCCCGGATACGGCAAAGCCAAGAGAATCTCTCGCGATCCTGGGGATGCCCAAACTCAAATTGGATTCCTGCGATGTCCCATCGATTCTTCACCCAAAGGGCCCCGGCTGCGTTTGCCATATTGTCCCAATCGTGCTCTATACATCAACATAGCTATAGAACCTATACCATCACACATGTGAACATAACCCTGTATCCGAATGGCCCAGGTCGAGACCCATCGGGGCAACAGTAGATACGCGTTTCACGCTCCCATCAGAATTAGTCCCGACCTCCGACGCTCGCCAAACAAGCAACTCGGACAACATTGCGAGGGCCTCCGAAAGCCCCATGCTCGAAGTCGAGCTCCCCCTCTCCGAGCCCCTGGCTCCGACGCTCAGCCGCCGAGGGCGAGCCCGAAGGCGCCCGCAACCGTCTGCTCGCGCGCGCTGCCGCTCAGCAGCGCGCCCCTGGGCAGGACCACGTCGGCCCTGGCGAACTTCGGGCACGCCATGCCTGGGCCAATGGGGAGACCCGGGCCCCCCCCTGCCAGGGGATGCCCGGGCCAGCTCTCCGGCCTCCTGGGGGCGCGCAGATCTCGGGGACGGAGCAGCGATACGGAAGGAACAGCTCGGAGGCCCGCGCGTCAGGGAGAGGGGTCCAGCGCCGATCCGAGACATCCGAGCGGACCTCAGGAGCTGCTGTGTGCAGGACTCTGCTCGGCCCCCGAGATCCACACGCCCCCCCGTGATGCCCAAGAGATGGCCTGGGCACGGGGAGACCCACGCCACGGGGTACCGTCGGCCGCCGGGGGCAGGCTGGAGGGTTGTGAGAAAAGGAGAGCGGAGGCCGACCCGCAGCAACTTGAGATCCACTGTGCGTCGAATCCCTGTCGGATTTGCGTCAGGTTCTCGCCGCATTTACGCCGGAGTCACGTCGGACTTACGTCGGAGCATCGCCGCGCGAGGCATCTGGGCGTTGTGTCATGGGCATGGCCAGGGTGCGAGGCTCTTGGAGCCCCCAGTGGCCTCGTCGGGAGCTGGCGAGCAGCATCGGCGATGCAGGTGCGGCCTGTATGGAGCACTGCCCCTGTCCTCTGGAGGTAAACTGTAATTCGCCACTGTGCACCCTGGCACGTGGAGGCGTGGTGGAGTGCCATGTGCTGTCTGGTGGAAGCTCTGGAATATCCATCTCGCTGCATACTGCTGCGTGCACCACCACCACCTCCCCTCCCGAGACCGTGATCCCTTCTAACAGAAGCAGTGGATCCCAGCTCTCAAGCTTCCAAGACGGCCAAGGCAGGCAACAGTACCCATCGGTCGGAATAAGTAGGTAGAAACATGAAGTAGGAAGGCGGATAGAGTAGAGTGGGCTCGGGCCCGCCCAGAGAGTAACGAAGCGCAGCAAAAGCAGATCGATCATTGAAGTAGGAAGGCGCTTGAGGAAGATTGGGTTCTGGAATTCCCAGAATACCTAGTTTCAACGACCAGTGGGTGGGGGCGGGCCTGGCCACCCATTTACGAAAACTCGCGCCGCGTGCCCCGCGCGGCGACGTGGGCTGGCCAGCTTCACTGGCGCGGGTGGGCACCCGCCTTCGGCGGGCTGGTGCTGCACCTCTTGCAGCTGAGGAGACGACGCGCATCCCTCTGTCCCCCTCTTGACTTCGTGTGCTCTCCCTGCCTCCAGCCTACTCGGCTGTGGGCGGCTGCTAGCCCTTGGGAGGCCGCCGGGGGTGTGGCGTTTGGCACACCCCCGCGGGCGGCGGCGGGCGCTTGCACTCATCCTCCGCTACCTCGCGCGCGGGGTGGAGGAGTCGTCGGACGGTGGCATGCGACGGGTGCGGTGCTCTAACACGGGAGGGGGAAGAGAAGGAGGAGGGAGAGAGAAGGGAAGGGGGGGGAGGAGGTGCGAGGAGGGGGGAGGGACGGGAGGAGGGAGGGGGGAGGGAGGGGGGAGGAGGGAGGGGGGAGGAGCGAGGAGGGAAGGAAGGGGGGGGAGAGAGGAGGGATGGGAGGACGAGAGGGGACGATGCTGGAGGGACGGCTGAAGGAGTCCAGGGTCCACGCGGCGTGCCGCGCAGGTTGCGCGGCGACCCCCGCGGCCTGCGAGGCACGAGGCCAGCAAGCTCTTCACGGGACGGCTGGTGGGCGCCGCCCCGATCCGGAAGAGCTCCTCGTCGCCGCCGCGGTCGTTGCCGCCGCCGTCGTCCGCCTCCGCCGTCCTCGTAGCCGCCGCCGTCGACGCAGCCGCTGTCCTCGCTGCCGCCGCCGCCCTCGTTGCCTCGGAAGAACTTCCCTCGACAGACTTACGAGGCAACTCCCGGGATGCCTTGGTGGGAGCGATCTCGATTACAGGGCTGCCAAGCTGGCCTGGGTCGGACCAAGACCAGGATTCCGCGGTACTGAGCGGGACTATGTAGGCCAGGTTCCGACCAAGGATGCCCCAGGGCCGCTGCTGAATTTTAGAACCTTGCAAGGAGCGCATCCCCAAACCAGACCTCCCTCGCCGCGCAGAGCAATCGAAGCGGGCCGTTGCCGAGGCCCTCCGCGGCCCGGGGCCGCGGGAGGCCGCGGGAGGCCCGCTGCGTGGGCCCGGTGCCGCCTGCGGAGCGCGGCCCAGGCCCGGGCACCGGCAAAAGGCGGCCCAGGGTGACAGGAGCGGTACAGGGGGCCAGGTCGAGAGGGCGGAAGCACACCAGGAAGAGACCGTGAAGTCACACATCTGCCCCCCAGCACGAGAGACTCCGGACCCCCCGCAAACACGAGAGGCTCCGGCACGGGCGCCCTGGAGGAGAGGGATCGGGACTGAGCCTCCTCCTCCTCCTCCTCCGCCTCCGCCTCCGCCTCCGTCTCCGCCTCCGCCACTTCCTTCTCAGCCGCCTCCCTGCTTGGACAGCCATCGGGGCTTCTGGGAAGCTTCTCAACAATCACATCAGTTTGCTCCATAGTTTCCCGTGGCCTCGAGTGGTGCACCGTGGTGAGTCACAGGGCCCCTTGTCCCATAAACGAAGCTAAAAAACCCGACGCCAGATCACGTCAAGCATCCTCAATCGTCTTCTCGCTCTGGGCCTTCCCCCGCCCTCGCCGCAGCCACAACTGCGTCGGGAGACGGGTCGGGATGGTGCCCAGGAGGCCCTGGGAATGGGTCTTGCGAGGGTTCCAGCACGGGGGAACGCGGGGGGGAGAAGCGAGACAGGGAGAATGCAGCAGGGAGGAGAGAGAGAGAGAGAGAGAGAAAAAGAGAAAGAGAGAGAGAGAGAAAACCAAACAAACAAAACGAACAAGAAACGAGGCCTCATAAATTTGCGCATCGCGCCCTGCAATGCGCGACGCGCGGTTATTTCTGCGCCTTCGCGCCGCCGCCCTGGAGCAGGCGCCTGCATGGCCAAGGCCACGATGCGCGAAGCGCCATTATCTTTGCATCCATCGGGGCTACCTGGGAGAAAGTGGGGGTCGGGGGCAGCGTGTTACCCCCTGCGCACTCTCCACAGACCCCCGACGTCATGATTTCCTCAGAGCGTGGAGCCACAGAAATCTACAAATCTTGATCCATCCCGAGTCATTCTTTGAGGATGACGGGGCACGACCGGCACCTGGCTGGCGGCGGGGATCCACGTGCCACGGATTCGACGGGTGGCCAGCATCCAGCTCGCGGCGAACACCTCCAGCGTGCCTCGCGAGGATGAGGAAGGGGCAGAGCTTCGTGCCGGGCCTGACTGCACCGAACGGGTGGTAGAACGCATTGCTCCCTCCCAGATGATCCCAGGTGGCCTCTGACCTCCCCCCCACAGTCGTTGTCGTTTCATCCTGCTCTCCTCCTTTTTGTGTTGGTTGTTTTCTCTCATTCCCTCTCTCTCTGCTGCAGTGGCAAAGCCTGCACTTCCACGGCCGATGCAACGACAGCGATCTGAAAGCCTCACGCGTCCCCCACTCGGCCGTGCCGTCTCGCACCGCTCCTCCCCTTCCCCCCCGACATCCCCTCATTGACCTCCTAACCCTCTCCCCCTCCGCCACTCTACCTCTCTCGCTCCCTCCTTCCGCCCCCCCCTCTCTCAATCCCGCTCCCCCCCACCCTCTAAGCCCTGCGCCCATGCTCCGCCCTCCAGCCCCTGCGCCCCTCTCCGCTCTGCCCTCCCCCAAACCGCAACTTCCCCCCCCATCCCTACCTCTCCAGCTCCCTGCCCCACCTGCCCATCCAACTCGGTCCCGTTCCCGCTCCCACTCGAAATTTTGAGGTTGGACAGACACGAGGCTGGGTGAACGTTGCGTCCTTCCCCCTCGAAATCCTCCTCCTCCTCCTCCTCTTCCGCTTTCTTTCCTCCTCCTCCTCCTCCTCCTCCTCCTGCTCCTCCTCCTCCTCCCCTCCTCCTCCCCCTCGGAGAAAATCCCCCACTCGACCCTTGCAAACTGCACACCAAACCTGCCTCCTGGATGCTGCATGCCGTCGGCGCCCCCTGGGAACAGGGCCGTGTCGTTTGGGAGACGACGAACAAAAATACCGATACGGCTACTCCCCAGACCTCTCGAGGGGTGCGTTTTGACCCGGGTTTCTAAGCGAATCCAGCCTTGAAAACGAGGAAGGGTAGCTGTATCGGCATCTCTCCCTCTCCTGAGCCCGATCGGGGTCCTCCCCGTTCAGGGTCTGAATCACAATGAATTCGCCCTCCAGCGACGCTTGCAGGACAGGCGCGGGCAGCCCGTAGACGCAGCCGGCGTCCAGGGCTGGCACGTTGCAGCGGCCGTGGCCGTTGAACCCGCAGGCCACAGCCATGCCGTCGCTGCGGAGTAGAACTGTGTGCTCGAGACCAGCAGCAACCTCAGGAACAATTCTGTATCATTGGCAATGGCGCCCATGACCGACTCCGCCCTGGTCCCCTCCACCACCCAGCCCTGGTCCCCTCCACCCACTCCCCTCCTCCCCGGTCACGCCCGTTATCGCCAGGGGATGAAAGGCTTCCTCATGGGAGGTCTCCGCCAGAACGAGAAAATGCAATTGAGCCTGATCAGAGGCCATTTAGCCGAGTTGAGCGGGATTAAGCCGAGCTCAGCGGGATTAGCCAAGATCAGGCCGGATTGAGCGGGACCTTGCCGTTATTGGCTGGTTGTCGACCACGGATATTCCAACGCCGATGCTGAATTTGACCTCAGGAGTTGCATCCTAAGCAGCCTGCACGTACGTCTGTCCTGCACCGAGGGGGGGGAGGTCGCACTGCGCGTCGCGGTTGTCGCCGCACGCGACGGCCGTGCCGTCGCTGCGGAGCAGGACCTTGGGGGGAACGGCACCGATCCTGGGGGGCACAGGTGCGGGGGGGAGGACTGGCTCCGGGGGGGAGCATCGAGCTGGAGTCGGCGATACATCGCCCATAGATCGGCGATAGCGCCCGATGACGAACCTCAACGTCCCTGGGCGGGGCGGGCTATCGGGCCCCTGCGGCAAGTTCGTGCCGTGACGATCTCGGCGCTGGATCACTGAACCTTGGACACTCGGCGGCTTTTCCATCGCCAAATCCTTCCATAATGCTCGGTTGTGGGCAACTTGCGGCGTTCAACCGTGACCGCCCGCGGCGTGGTCGCTGCCGCGTCGGCGCGAACGAACCTACTGTACTGGCGACGAATGGGCGATTGCACCGCCCCTGAGCGCATCCCCCCCGAACGTTGCCCCTGAACTAATTCAACTGCGCCGATTCTGCCCCATGGCCTGCCATGGGCCGTAGGGACTGAAGGACACGTGCCCTCCCCCAGTCAGGAGAGCGCATCACGCCGACCCTGGGCCCAGGATGGACCCACCAAGGATCTGCATACGCAGGTTCGTGGACGACTGGCGCGTTGATTTCTTCACGGCGTGGATCGCTCAACCTCGCACCATCGGAGGCGCTTCGATCGCCAGATCGTTCCATGAATGCTGCCTCTGGGCCACCAGCGGCGTCCCGCCTTGAACGCCCGCGGCGGGGTCGCCGCTGAGTCGACACGTCGGGGGCTGCGAAAGGTGCCCCTGGCCCAAGATGCCCCCAGCGTTTCCTTCCACTTTGAAGCTGCTGGGGCCCTCTGGACCTCGCGAGGACGAGGACGAGGCGCTGGACAATCGTCCCGGAGGACAGCCCTATAAGAGCCCGGCGTGATGCAAGAAGGACGGGGGAGAAGCACAGTGGGAAGCAGGCAGGGAGAGCAGACACGAGAAGCAAGGAGCAACGAATCGCCAGGGGTGCTCTGGAGGCCGTGGGGGCCTTCCCAGAGATCCTGGGAGCACCTTGGGCCAAGCGGCACTTCTGGTAGCCTGCCGTGCACGGCGCGACTCGAAACGCGCACGGCTGGCTTCTCTCACGTGGAGCATCCGGAGGTTACCGCACTCGACGCACGCGCGCGGAAGCCCCCCGCTTAAGGATCCCGAAAAGGTGCAGTGACAGACCGTGCGGTGACCTCGGAATCTTCGTCGACCTCACCGTGCAGTGCGTCACCACATGGTTTTGTGACCCTGAGAGCCCCAATTGCCTGAGACGTCCTCGGAGAACGACTCGAGTCCCAAAACCGTGTGGTGACCCCGAATCTCCACGGACTCACAACACGGTGTGGTCACAGCACCGTTTGGGGGCCCACGACCCGTGTGCCTGGGCACAGAAGGGCCCGGCGCTGGAGAGGCATCTGACACCATGTGTACCCTGGGCTCCGACGCAGAACAACAAAAAAACACAGTACGAAACATCGCTAACAGAGGACTCTGACCCACGTCAGCGTCGCCGCCGCCGCCACCGCCGCCGCCGTCGCCACCGCCATCGCCGTCGTCGTCGTATGCGTCGGCGTCGGTGACGGCGTCGTCGTCGTCGTCGGCGTCGGCGTCGGCGTCGGCGCCACCATGCGAGGTCGGCGGCACAAGCTGTGAGGCCTTCCCAATACGTCATCACGTCATGACGAAACCCAACGACCAGAACCCTGGACCACATCTTTCTGCAGCATTTTCCGAGCCGGCTCGATCTGTGATTGTCTTGGCGCCCGACAACACGCCTGGCGTGGAAGAAATGCAACGCCCGGATCTCTGGGCATGAAGCTCTCGCCCAGGGCGGCCGCGCCCTGGGCGAGGCGGCTTCTGGTACGCGGATGCGCTCCCCAAAAATTGACTCGGGCTGCAGGGCAGGGGCGCGAGAGGCCCACGGACGAACGCGCTGGAACCAAGCACCTCGGCAGCGCCTCGCGGCAGGCAGCGTCTGCTGAGGACGGGCCGAGGAAGCACGGATGCAGGCCTAGACATGCTGGCGTCGAGAAAACACGCAGAGCGGCATTCGGTCTCCTGGTGCCCGTACACGGGCCCCACTGACCGCAAAAAACGAATCGGGATGAGAGACCGAACCGGTCCCCGTGAAGGGGGCGAGACCTTTGGAGGGCCGCGTTATGAACAAATCACGGCGTCGAATGTCTGGGGGTGGGCAGCCTCGATGGAGCATTGCATCCTTACTGTGGGCCTTGACCCTAGCTGGCATGAGAGAAAAAACAGCATAAGCATAAAGGCTTCCGGCGGTCCGCGCGGATTTGTATCGGATCATCGCTGGGCGCGCGGAGCGCGCCAGGGCCGGCGCTGGAAGCGCGATGGCGCCAATCCGAGAGAACTCCGCGCAGACCTCCAGAAGTGTGTGCGTGTGCGTGTGCGTGTGCGTGTGCGTGCGCGTGTGCATGAGCGCGTGCGTGTGTGTGTATGTCAATGTTTCGCCATCGCTAGCACCACAATGCCATGCCGCAGCTTGCTTCCATCGCACTACTCCAAGGGCCCTCCATGCGACCCCGAGAGGAAAGACCGCCGAGAACATGTTACAGACCCCCGAGGCTGGAGTGGAAGAAAACGTGGGCCATAACCGAGACGGAGCGCGGAAACGTGATGTCGATCTTGGTCAGCGTCGATCTGGGTCGGCGTCGTTTCGTGGCTCATCCTCGCGGATCGGCGACGGCCAGCACGGACCACGACTCTGATCGGCGTCGGCGAAGTCCCGCGACATCTTGGTAATGGTCAGTACGTCAGGTTCGTGTCGTGACGACCCCGGCGTTGGTTTCTGACTCCGCGTGGATCGTTCAACCTTGAACGATCGGCGACCGTCGATCGCTCGATCGTTCCATATAGGCCGATTCTGGGCCACTGGCGGCGTTCAACCTTGAACGCTCGCGGCGGGGTCGCCGCCGGTCGACACGACGCGGACGTACCGTATGTGTCTTATGTTGCTTCCCTCGAAGGGACCGTGTGCTGGAATCCAGCGGCGGCCTGCACGTACGAGAGGCACCCGCCCAGGACGGGGAAGTCGCACTGCCCCAGGCTGCAGTCCCCGCAGGCCACGGCCGCGCCTGGGGGGGGCGCGCGCCAGCGGCCCCCTCCAGCCCCCTCCCGAAGGCGAAGGCAGGGCGAAGATGAGCTGAAGTCGAGGAGATCACTGGCGACGAATACGCAGAAAGCAGCTACACACCACCACCGTGCCAGGCCAGGGCCATCCCGGGCCGTAGGATGGTGTATACGCCCTCCTGGCCGAGCCAGGAGGGTCTATACACCATCCTGCGGCCCAGGACGGCCCTGGCCTGGCACGGTGGTGGGGTATAGATGCTTTCTGCGGAACGAAGACCCAGAGATCCGATGCTCCGAAAGAATCGAGCCGGCCGGTTTTTAGCCATCCTCGGCCTCCAGAGGCCCTCTCCAGGCACCAGGGCCGTCAAAAGACTACTCGGGGCAAAACTCTGGCCCTGGCCCGCGCATCGGAAAATTGTAGCGGCCAGATGTCTGGGGATACAACCACAAGGCCGACCCGACCCACCAGCAGTGATGACCCGCGCACGGCACTCGAAATCCGGCGCCGCGCGCAGGTCATCAAAGCTGTGGGTCGGGGTCGGCCTTGGGGTAGCGGCTGTGGTTGTCTCTTCTTTGCTGCTGAGAGCAAGTAGAGAATCTCTGACAACTGGCGGATGTGGTGAATGGAAGCATCGGTCGCCGCGGCAAGCACGCAAAGCTCTGGAACGCCCTCAGAGCGCTTCGCAAGGCTCTGGAGCAATATATCTTCATCCCCGGCCTGCCAGAGGCTCCTCCCTTGCGGACGCGACGAGGGGTGGGGGGAGGGGCAGCGGGCGGCTTTGATCGCCGGATGCATCGCGAGCTTGTTGGTTGCAGGATAATCGACCCCTCGCCACAGGGGGGGGGGATGGGCAGGGGCATGCCACTCCCAGGCAAAAACCTTGCCCCGATTTGTAGACGCCGCAATCGCAATCGCCGCGGCGACCTCCAGAACAGGCCCATAGGTTTGGACCAGGGTCGGATATCACACAACGATATATGGGCACACCGTCGCTTCGGAGGAGGACCATGTGCAGACCCCCTGCGGCAACCTGCACGTAGGCCTGTCCCGCCTGCAGATCCGGAACGTCGCACGCGGACGAGCCCCGACCCAGGCCACCTCCATTGTAGCCGCAGACCGCCGCGGAGCCGTCGCTCCGGAGAAGGAACGTGTGGTAGCGCCCAGCGGCAACCTGCGTGTAGGTGACGCCTCCGCCCAGAGCTGGAATGTCGCACTGCCCGTGGAGGTTGAGGCCGCAGGCCACAGCAGTGCCGTCGCTCCGGAGCAGGGCCGTGTGGTAGCCACCCGCGGCGACCTGCAAGTACGTCTGGCCACCACCCAGGGCTGGGACGTCGCACTGCCCATGAGCGTTGTTGCTGCAGGCCACGACCGTGCCATCGCTCCTGGGAAAGCAAAGAGATACCTTACGGCTACTCCGCGGACCTCTCCCAGGGTGCGTTCTGACCTATTTTCCGAGGTGAATCCAGCCTTGGCGACGAGGGCCTCCTAGGAGGCCCCACAGGCGGCAACAAAGAAAAGGGCAGCGGGATCAGTACCTTTTGAACCCCGCGAGCTCCGAAGAAGGACCGTATGCGCAGAGGAAGAATGAACGACATACACATGCGCTTACAGAGTTCCTCGCGGACTCCTTGGATCGGCGCTGGAAGACCCCTCTCTGGCGCGCGGAGCGCACCATGGGCGGCGCTGGAGGCGCCGCCAAAGGCGTCGATACGAGAAATCCGCGCGACGCTCCGAAACGTAATTCTCACCCCTCGGTGGGAACAAGTGGGTAGAAACATGAAGTATGAAGGCGTTGGAAGTGGATTGGATGTCCGCAGGCCCCCTAACACACAATGGGAGAGGGAAAGCTACTCACTCGATCCTCGAAGCAGGATGGCGCCTCAAGTGGATTGGAATCTGGACATTCAGAATCAGAATGTGGGGGCCGAACGGTCATTCCCTGTCTCTGGGTGCGTGGCTGAAGTGAAAATCCGCGGAGCGGATTCTGCTTGTTTGTTTATTGTCGTCGTCCCACCTGCGACCCGCCCCGCGACCCACCCGCAACCCGCGCCACGACCCATTTGCGAGCCACTGGCGACCCACCCGCGACTCACCCACATTGCTTTGACGAAAATATCGACGTCTGCGCCAGGCTTCTTCAGAGACTCGCAGACTGACGACGACCCCGTGGCCCCCGTACTCTTATCCGCAACTGCGGGGTGCTACCTACCTTCTTCCCACGACCGATGGGCATGCCATTCTGCTCTTCCTCGAATGCGTGCCCCCCGCGGCCACCTGCACGTACGTCAGGCCCGCGCCGAGGCCCGGCAGGTCGCATTGCCCCAGCTCGTTGCATCCGCAGGCCACCGCGCTGCCGTCGCTGCGGAGCAGGACCGTGTGCGTCTCCCCCGCGGCGGCCATCCCCACGGCAGCGCTCACACGAGCCTGGCGAGGCGGTGAAGCTTCGGGCTGCGCACGGACAGCCCCCACCACGGGTGCTGCTGGCTGGCCTCGACAGGCCCCCAGAGTAGTCCGGGGCGGTCTCAACACCCTGGAGTCGCCTCCAGCGGCGCCCCTGGGGAACTCCGCCCCGGACTGCTCGAGAAGCCTGCCGAGGCCAGCCGGCACTACTTGGGAGGCCTGTCCGTGCGCAGCCCGAAGCCTTACTGCCCGAGCTAGGCGATGGCGCTCCACTGCGAGCCAAAAGGCTAAAGAGGCCCTGCCTGGCGTCGCAGACCAAGCCCACGCCGGGGGTTTTCGACCGGTGTTTCCGGCCCCCAGGACCATCACGGATCGATCCCGCAGGAAAAATGTCGCAGAAAGACCAGTGGTGATGTTTGGCGGTGATGTTTTTGGTGTGGCAACGTCGGGTCTCGGGAGAAGGAGGACAACGAAGAGCAGAGAAGGAAGGTGATGATGATGATGAGGAGGAGGAGAAGGCCGAGGCCGACCCCTGACTGGCAGCCTGTTTTGCTACTCTTTGCCTCTCATCCTCCGCACAACCTCTCTGCCTAATGGTTGGCGTCTGCCCCCAAGGCGGTATTAACCCGCTGTCTTTTGTGACCATGCGCAGGAAAACTACGACCCCAGTGGGTCTAAGTTGACCTAGCGCCAAGGAAGAAAGAACCAAGGCCGAGACAGGCAGTCGACGCCGAGGAGGGAGGAGGGATGAAGGGAACGATGAGCAGGGAAAGAAAGATCTGAGGAGTGGAGAAAAGACCGAGAGGACGAAGAGAAAACGTAAATTCACAATCGGCGGAAGCACGGAACTTCACGAGCGGCGATCCGCGATATCGTCGCTTCCCGACGATAGAGGCTTGCCTATAGTGGCGCTGCACTTTCCCGCGGTGCCTGCGCCAAGACTGGGAGGCTCCTCTCGCCTTCGAATCGACCGGTTGGGTCTGGCGCGCGTTGGCCGCTCCTGGCCGCCTCACGGCGGCCGCGCGCGCTGGTCGAATTTTCTCAGGTTCTGCCCAGCGCCCGGCCGTGGCCGCCCTTTAGCCGCCCCGTGCGCTGGCCGCCCGTGGCCGCCTCCTGGCCGCCCCACGCGATGGCCGAGTCTCTTCCAGGGCTCGGCTCGGTGCCTGCCCGAGGCCGCCCCGTGGCCGCCCCGTGGGTTGGCTGGGCTCTCGTGGGGGGCCCGCCGGCTGGCCCAGGGCGCTGGCCGGGCTCTCCAGGACGTTCTCCCGGTGGGCGCCTCGTGGCCGCCCCGTGGCCGCCTCGTGCGCTGGCCACCACGTCTTGTCAGCTCGCACTCTGCGGGGCCGCGCGGCCAGCGCGTCTGCGGCGAGGATGCGCGGCGAGGATGCGAGCAAGGCCCCTGTGAATAAGGAGGAAGAGGAGGAGGAGGAGGAGGAGGAGGAGGAGGAGGGGTGGGGGGAGACGGAGGCCGGAGGCAGAGCAAGAGGAGAAGGAGGAGGAGGAGGGAGTGCCCCGTGCCCACCAATCGCAACATCTTCGCCGCCCCGCGCGCCGGCTGTGTTTCTGTTGAAGTGATCGCCTCGTAACAGATGCGTGAGCACATACTCGTTATACATATGCATTTATGCATATATACACATATATAAACACATATGTGTATGCATGTATGCATGTATGCATGGTTGCATTCATATATGTATATGCATGGATGCACTTAGTTATCTAGACGTGAATAGTAATAGGATTCGTAACATCCGTAAGTGGTAGTAGTAGTCGTAGTAGTAATCGTAGTAGTAGCAGTAGTCGTAGTAGTAGTCGTAGTAGTAGCAGTAGTCGTAGTAGTAGTCGTAGTAGTAGTAGCAGTAGTAGTATTATTACTACTACTACTACTAGTAGTAGTAGTAGTCGTAGTAGTAGAAAGAGCAGTATGAGTCGTAGTCGTAGAAATAGTAGTGGTGGTGGTACCCGTATCATAGTTGTATGTGAGCATGCATGTAAAGATGTAGGTACGTGCGCGTGCATGTATACATATATACATATGTACACATATTCAGGTGTGCATGCACATAACACGTAATGTCTACCATATATATATATATATGTGTGTAATTACAAAAGCAAGTACCTACACATGTACATGCACATGCATACTTGTATATACAACTACGCATACGGTTGCATAAGCAAGTGCAGATGCATTTCTACATGCATATACACTTACATATACATATATATGTGCATATACACATGTATATGCACATATATGCATTAAGAAGAAACTACTGGGAAGTCTTCTTCGGAAGGATTCGGAGCAATTCAGCCCCGTTGGGGGGCTGTTACGCTGGATTGGGCCGCGGATTAAGCGGGATTATGCGGGATTTAACTAAATTCCAAACCATGGCAAACTCAGATTTTGACCTCCCAGGAGTTGCATCCGAGTATATCTCTAAATCGGGGGTGGGGGGGGGAGATCGCAATGGAACGGAGACCCCCAACCGGAAAATCGTTCGTTTCGTTCGTGTCGTATGTGCGGGCGAGGCGAAGCTGCGCGGGCGGGCGAGAGGAATAAACCCGCCGTTGCGAAGGCGAAGTCAAAACAAATGATTCTCCCCGGCCCGCCCGTCCGTCCGTCCGGCGGTGGCTCGCGGTGTCCCGCGGTGTTCCGTGGTGTCCCGTGGTGTCCCGTGGCGTCCGCCGTTGCTAGGGCGAAGTCAAGACAAAGGATTCTCCCACGCCCGCCCGTCCGTCCGTGCGTTTGGCGGTGGCTCGCGGTGTCCCGCGGTGTCCCGTGGTGTCCCGCGGTGTCCTGTTGAGTGAGATCGATAGTGAGATCAATACCGAGAGCGATGTGGTGCCCCGAAGTGTCCCGTGGTGCCCCGTGGTGTCGCAAAAAGTGAGATCGATAGTGAGATCGACAGGTGTCCCGTGGTGTCCCGTGCCGTGGTGTCCCGTTGGGTGAAATCGATAGTAAGATCGATACTGAGATCGATAACGAGATCGATGTGGTGTCCCGAAGTGTCCCGAGGCTCCCCCAAAAATGAAATGGACAGTGAGATCGATAGTGAGATCGACAAGTGTCCCGTGGTGTCCCGTTGAGTGAGATCGATCGTGAGATCGATAGTGGGATCGATGTTGTGTCCCGAGGTGTCCCGTGGTGTCATATGGTGTCTCGTTGAGTGAGATCGATAATGAGATCGATAGTGAGACCGATAATCAGATCGAGAGGTGTCCCGCGGTGTCCCGTGGTGTCCCGTGGTGGCCCGTGGTGTCCTGTGGTGTCCCGTGAAGTGAGATCGATACTGAGATCGACAAATGTCCCGTGGTGTCCCAGTTCCGTTGAGTGAGATCGACAGTGAGATCGATTGAGTCAGATGTCGGTTCCCCCCCTCCCCCCCACAACCTCCTTATCCCCCGAAGGGTGGTCGTATAGGTTAATGTATATAGTACATTGTATATTAACTTTCTGTTTAACAAAACATGGAGAGAAGGGGCCGAAGGGTCATTCACTGTCCCTGGGCGCGTGGCTGGAATGGGTTTTTTTTCGGTGCGGACAATTACTGTTGTTGTTTCTGTTCTTGTTGGATACTCCATTTTGGAAAATAATTACTATTGATCTCCAGAGACGGTTCCGCGCGCTCTCGCCCCGACGCTGGCTGCAATTCCTCTGAAAGCAGGGCTCCCGCTCGAGCGCGGGGTTGATTGAAAAGTGTGCCGCTAGACACTTCCTTACAATTTACTCAGAGACACCCTGGCCAGAGAGGCCCCAAATTCAGGAACGGCGCTCTCGCTCGAGACTCCCTCGCAATTCGACCAAGTTGGCGGAGGCCCAGCCACGACGACAAGGGTTCCCGCTCGATACTCTTCGCGATCTGCTCCGAAAGGCTGTGGCCATTAAGCCCCTCAGCTTAGGAACGGCGCTCTCGCTCAATACTTTCTCGTGCTTCAATCAAGTTGGTGGAGGCCCAACTACGACGACAAGGGCTCTCGCCCGATACTTCCTCACGATTTACTCCGACAGGCCCAGGCCAGAGAGGGCCCCGACCTCAGGAACGGCGCTCTCGCTTGAGACTTCCTCGTCGCTCAGTCGAGCTGGTGGATTCCCAGCGGCGATGGCGAGGGCTCCCGCTCGATGCATCCTCACGACTTACTCTGAGAAAGGCAGCCGAACTCAGGAACGGCGCTCTCACTCGAGACTTCCTCGCATAACAGTCAATGGCCGGCAAGGAAAAGAGTCCCCCCCAAAGTGGATGCGATCAAATTCGAAGTGGGCGGGTACCGAGGTCGGGGTATATCAGATAAAAACACACGGGCAAGTAAATTACGAACAGTATGAGAATTGATTGATGCTGCTATTGTTGTTGATTTTCTTGTTGCTGTCTTTATTATTGTGGTTTTTGTTGTTGTGATTGTGGTTGTTGGTGGTGTGGTTGTCGATGCTGTTGTTATTGTTCATGCTGTTGTTGTTATTGGTGGTGTTGTTGTTGCTGCTGTTGTTGATGGTGTTGGTGTTGGTGTTGTTGTCGTTGTCGATATTGTTGTTGAACATTATTTATTCTAAAGAATAATTATTGTTGGGGCCCCTGGTGCGCGCCCCCCTCGCCGCGCCTAGGCCGCAGCCACATTTTCATCATTTTCGTGAGGAAGTCTCAGGCAAAACGTGGGTGTCCGGATCCGGTTGTTTTGTTGACGCCCGCTTTCCCTTGCAAAAAACACTATAAAATGTAATTTCTTGTTCTAACATAACCAAACTTCAAGAATCCTTCCTGGAAAAATGGCACGAAGTGCACACTCGCGCGCGCAAGATGACATCCTTCCAAAACCTTAGTTTTCGTAGCGATTTTAACATAAAAACATGAAAACCCAATGGTTTTTCAAAAAAAAGCTTCAAACATTCATCTTGCGCGCTCTTGCGGATTTATGAGGAAACCCAATATGTTTTCAACATTTCTGTCAAACGGGCTCTTGCGAGCAACTTTTTCACGTGTTTCGAACTTCTGCAACAACGGTTGCGCGCATGCCAGGGC